GATGAATCTTGAGAGGCGGGGAGAGCAAGAGAAATGCTCATATTGTGACCATGGATCATGAAAGAGGGCAAAAGAGAAATGCTCCGTGTTGACCTTGACCATGGTGTACTCAAGGATGAAAAAAAGACTTCCGCAGCGAGGGAGGAAAGACCACAGTCCTTTGTTTGAGGGAGGATGTTGAAGTGCAAACAAAGTCCCACATTGAGTGAAATAAGGACTGGTCAAGGGTTTATATACACATAGAAATCTCCAATGATAAGAGGCCTTTTGGAGTGGTACCAAAAAGCAAACCCGTGAGGGCTTGGCCCAAAGCGGACAATATCTTATCATGTGTGGAGTTCTATGTGTGTGTCGAACCTCCCCCAACAGTGGTATCAGAGCCCATGGTTCGGGTCTGGACCGGGCTCAGACGAGTACGCCCCCCCTATGATCAGGTGAGCCAGGCAGGAGGCCAGTGACGGATCACCGGATGAATCTTGAGAGGCGGGGAGAGCAAGAGAAATGCTCATATTGTGACCATGGATCATGAAAGAGGGCAAAAGAGAAATGCTCCGTGTTGACCTTGACCATGGTGTACTCAAGGATGAAAAAAAGACTTCCGCAGCGAGGGAGGAAAGACCACAGTCCTTTGTTTGAGGGAGGATGTTGAAGTGCAAACAAAGTCCCACATTGAGTGAAATAAGGACTGGTCAAGGGTTTATATACACATAGAAATCTCCAATGATAAGAGGCCTTTTGGAGTGGTACCAAAAAGCAAACCCGTGAGGGCTTGGCCCAAAGCGGACAATATCTTATCATGTGTGGAGTTCTATGTGTGTGTCGAACCTCCCCCAACACTTTCTGCCACTTAATCCATTCAAAATTTCATTTTAATAACTCATACTAACTTGTAATGCAAATTTTTATTGCATATTTAGTGATATGAAACTTCAATAATAACAAAGGAATGGTTAATTTTCCCCTAAATGTAAAGGCGTAGTTTTGTAGTTTACATGATCCCTTCTATTATATAAAAAGGTGATGGATAATAGAGTTCAATTCAATGCATTTCATGGTTTGGATAATTATTAATCTGCTTGCACACTGCATGATCTCATCATCAGGATCTCATGTTATTCAAGTGCCACCAAATCCAACGCTGCCACCGAATCTCAAATCAGGTTCTTTTAAGTCAGTGTCTGTGAAAACAATTCCAAATCATGCTCCAAGGGCAGCCTTCAGTCCCGGGAATGGTAGTTTCACGTATGATGAAATATTAGTGGCCACTAATTGTTTCTCTGAGTCCAACCTTCTTGGAGAAGGTGGCTTTGGCTATGTGTACAAAGGAGTTCTCCCATGTGGAAAGCAAATTGCAGTTAAGCAACTAAAATCTGGTAGCCAACAAGGAGAGAGAGAATTTCAAGCTGAGGTTGAGACAATTAGTCGAGTGCATCATAAGCATCTTGTTGAATTGGCTGGCTACTGCGTTTCTGGGGCAGAGAGAATGCTTGTTTATGAATTTGTTCCAAATAACACATTGGAATTTCACTTGCACGGTAAGTCTGTATTTATGGTAATCCACCGAAACTTTTTCTACTCTGTTGTTGATGGCACTGCTGGTTTCTCGTGAAAAAGTTCTGTTTTAAGTATAGTTGTTTTGTCCTGTATAGAGGACAGGTTTTTTCAATGGTTCTGTACTACGGTTGCATGGTCCTGAAGATGACATAAAATTGTACTGCAGGGGAGGGGAGTATCTTCTTAGGATGGACAACGAGAATTAAAATTGCCCTCGGATCTGCAAAAGGGCTGGCATATCTACATGAAGGTTGTGAGAATTCTTCACTTTTGAGTTAGAATCTGATTCAGGATTTTGCTGTTAACTTGTATAATTCCTTGATGTTACATACTTAAATCTTATATACGGATCCTGTGCTTATGACTTTAGGAAATGGTAATTGGTTTTTAATCGTGATCATCATGGTTACAGGTAATCCAGCAATTATTCACCGTGATATTAAGGCATCTAATATTCTTCTTGATTTTAATTTTGAACCCAAGGTAAGTCTAATCTTGTTCCCTTGATTATTATATGATAATGTTATTATTAATTTTATACGCTTTTTTATTCTTTCCTTCCGCAAAAATCTTCTGTGTCTTCTTTCCATGAAATGCAAGTCTTGAAAGGAAATATTGATAGTAAAAGGAACATTTTTTAATATAGTTGACTCCGAATGAGTCCTTCAGAAAATCAGAACGCTAAGTTAATTGGAGATTGTCCCCTCTTTTGATCACCTATGCTTCGTACTCATTGTTTAATCCTCTTTTAAAAAAAAGTCTGTTATATTTACTCTGTTTATTTTTTTTCAAATGACTTCCTAATTTTGTTCCCTGTGCATCATACAGCACATGAAGTGTTCCTATGTTAATAACTGATAATCTAAGACCTATCTTTCTCAATTACTCTAGAAACATATTTATGCTGAGCTTCTGTTTGTATTAGGTTTCTGACTTTGGCCTGGCAAAAGTCTTACCAAACGATAGCCATATTAGTCACCTCACCACCCGAGTGATGGGAACCTTTGGGTAAGGACTCTGTCCATCTTACTGCACGTATCATAGTGCATTACTTAACATTAACCTCATCGATTACTTGAAACAGAAAGTGCTGTGAATTCCTTAAAATACTTAAGTAAACATTGAATTTTTTTCTCTACTATTAAGTCAGCATCACAAAGTGAACATTGGTCATTTTAGCTCTTCAGTAAATAAGCAGCGCCCTCCTTACAAGTAACAGAAAAAAACGGTTGAAAAAAAATGTTTCTATACAGCGATCATGTGTTGCCAAAGCTGTCTATTGCATATGTCAAAATCAGCTTTTGCCAACTATAGAACTTCAAAGCCAAAAGTTTCGTTGCAGATATGTGGCTCCGGAGTATGCATCAAGTGGTAAATTGACAGATAAATCAGATGTATATTCCTACGGAGTCATGCTTTTGGAACTTATAACCGGACGTCCACCAATCACTGCAGCAGGATCTAGGAATGAGTGCTTGGTTGACTGGGTGAGTTGACTGAGTTCTTTCCAATAATATGTCTAGCGATAGTAGATGTTTTGCCAACTCAAAGTAATAGTAAATTTGAGGGACGATTTTCTTTTGATCCTGATCCTCCGTATTAAAATAACCTATGTGTGTGTGTTGGACTGCAGGCTAGGCCATTGCTTGCTCGAGCACTACAAGAAGAGAATTTCGACAACCTTGTTGATCCAAGGTTGCAGAAAAACTGCGATGCTGATGAGATGGTTAGAATGGTTACATGTGCAGCTGCTTGTGTGCGCCATTCATCCAAACTTCGACCTCGTATGAGCCAAGTAATCATCTGTTTATCATTTTCATCAGCATCACATAAGGACAGAAAGATGGAAGAACTAAGCTAATTATAACTTTTTCAGTAAATCCGTGACTAGACCAGGACAGTAATTTGAAAGAATGATGATTATAGACAGATATGCAAAAACTTAAAAGAAAATTTCTTATTAGAAAAAATCTTAGGACAATACGTACGTAGGTGAAGATTTTCGGTGAATTTAAAGGTTTACCTTAGTAATGACTAATAAAAGTTTGTATAATTGGTTAACATAGAATGTCAAAATAAAACTAATTATGATAGAAAACAACACTGAAAAACACTTAACTGTACTTAAGTTTTGTCAATACATTAAAATCTTGGTCAATCCTTTGGATTGCTTCAACCTTCCTCAATAGATACTCTCAGTTACATAATTAAATCAGTATTGATATTTCAACTTTCAATTAGGACATACAACTAGACAATTAATTCTTAATATCTAGATTTCCTTTGTTAAAATTCTCTCTAGCTCTGATAAACATGGTCTGTTTTTGTTGTGTAAGTACATATGAGACTCTGACCACTAAGTTCACAATTTGTAACAGATAGTTGGAGCCTTAGAAGGAGTGGTTTCTCTTACTGATCTTGTTGGAGATGTTACACCGGAGAATACCCCAGAACACAATTGGTCAAAGTATTTAGATTATGGCGACAACCAATAGCAGTATGGCTTGAGAAGTTTTAATTTGACATTATCAGCTCAGAAATACAACTCCAGTGGGTACACTGAAACCACTAGTGCTTGTGGCCTTTACTCATCAGGCTCAAGTAGTGAGGCTCACCAATCATTCCGAGAGATATTGTAAAATAGGTTAAACATGGAGAATTGTACTGTGAACTTAAAATTCAGAACTATGGTAATTATGTTCTACTCAAGATGTAAAGCTCTTACACAAGTCCAGACTAGAGTAAGACGTTCAAATTCTTCATAGGTTTTCAACAAGGAAAATATTTTTTTAACAACTTTTTTTAACTAACTTTTTTCCAACCATCTATGTAATAGCTTGTGATTAGTCTGTTTCAAATATACAGATCAATAAAACAGTGACACATAGTTATCAAAAAATTGTTAAAAGAATTTGTTAACATGTAATAGTCCTTTCAAAAATTTGAACAACTTTTTATTCGAAAGCTTACTCAACTTACTTGGTTAGAGATTTCAAAACGTAATTAGAGATAATCTACGTCGAATGTTGCGGATTGGCACTTCTAAGGGTGGTCCATAAACACACTGGCACACAAAAGCACTTAACGAGAAATTTAAGTTCTTTTTTTCTTACTAATTTAAAGCATTAGGTATTTAATAAAAATATAAATCAACATATGAGTATATAAAATATATTTACAAATTCTCTATATAAAAAATAAAAACTTAAACTTTTGAAAAATAAACAAAATATTTACACAATGCAAAATTATATCATAAGTGACCACTNCCCAAAGCGGACAATATCTTATCATGTGTGGAGTTCTATGTGTGTGTCGAACCTCCCCCAACACTTTCTGCCACTTAATCCATTCAAAATTTCATTTTAATAACTCATACTAACTTGTAATGCAAATTTTTATTGCATATTTAGTGATATGAAACTTCAATAATAACAAAGGAATGGTTAATTTTCCCCTAAATGTAAAGGCGTAGTTTTGTAGTTTACATGATCCCTTCTATTATATAAAAAGGTGATGGATAATAGAGTTCAATTCAATGCATTTCATGGTTTGGATAATTATTAATCTGCTTGCACACTGCATGATCTCATCATCAGGATCTCATGTTATTCAAGTGCCACCAAATCCAACGCTGCCACCGAATCTCAAATCAGGTTCTTTTAAGTCAGTGTCTGTGAAAACAATTCCAAATCATGCTCCAAGGGCAGCCTTCAGTCCCGGGAATGGTAGTTTCACGTATGATGAAATATTAGTGGCCACTAATTGTTTCTCTGAGTCCAACCTTCTTGGAGAAGGTGGCTTTGGCTATGTGTACAAAGGAGTTCTCCCATGTGGAAAGCAAATTGCAGTTAAGCAACTAAAATCTGGTAGCCAACAAGGAGAGAGAGAATTTCAAGCTGAGGTTGAGACAATTAGTCGAGTGCATCATAAGCATCTTGTTGAATTGGCTGGCTACTGCGTTTCTGGGGCAGAGAGAATGCTTGTTTATGAATTTGTTCCAAATAACACATTGGAATTTCACTTGCACGGTAAGTCTGTATTTATGGTAATCCACCGAAACTTTTTCTGCTCTGTTGTTGATGGCACTGCTGGTTTCTCGTGAAAAAGTTCTGTTTTAAGTATAGTTGTTTTGTCCTGTATAGAGGACAGGTTTTTTCAATGGTTCTGTACTACGGTTGCATGGTTCTGAAGATGACATAAAATTGTACTGCAGGGGAGGGGAGTATCTTCTTAGGATGGACAACGAGAATTAAAATTGCCCTCGGATCTGCAAAAGGGCTGGCATATCTACATGAAGGTTGTGAGAATTCTTCACTTTTGAGTTAGAATCTGATTCAGGATTTTGCTGTTAACTTGTATAATTCCTTGATGTTACATACTTAAATCTTATATACGGATCCTGTGCTTATGACTTTAGGAAATGGTAATTGGTTTTTAATCGTGATCATCATGGTTACAGGTAATCCAGCAATTATTCACCGTGATATTAAGGCATCTAATATTCTTCTTGATTTTAATTTTGAACCCAAGGTAAGTCTAATCTTGTTCCCTTGATTATTATATGATAATGTTATTATTAATTTTATACGCTTTTTTATTCTTTCCTTCCGCAAAAATCTTCTGTGTCTTCTTTCCATGAAATGCAAGTCTTGAAAGGAAATATTGATAGTAAAAGGAACTATTGATAGTAAAAGGAACATTTTTTAATATAGTTGACTCCGAATGAGTCCTTCAGAAAATCAGAACGCTAAGTTAATTGGAGATTGTCCCCTCTTTTGATCACCTATGCTTCGTACTCATTGTTTAATCCCACTTTTAAAAAAAAAAGTCTGTTATATTTACTCTGTTTATTTTTTTTCAAACGACTTCCTAATTTTGTTCCCTGTGCATCATACAGCACATGAAGTGTTCCTATGTTAATAACTGGTAATCTAAGACCTATCTTTCTCAATTACTCTAGAAACATATTTATGCTGAGCTTCTGTTTGTATTAGGTTTCTGACTTTGGCCTGGCAAAAGTCTTACCAAAGGATAGCCATATTAGTCACCTCACCACCCGAGTGATGGGAACCTTTGGGTAAGGACTCTATCCATCTTACTACACGTATCATAGTGCATTACTTAACATTAACCTCATCGTTTACTTGAAACAGAAAGTGCTGTGAATTCCTTAAAATACTTAAGTAAACATTGAATTTTTTTCTCTACTATTAAGTCAGCATCACAAAGTGAACATTGGTCACTTTAGCTCTTCAGTAAATAAGCAGCGCCCTCCTTACAAGTAACAGAAAAAAACGGTTGAAAAAAAAAAGTTTCTATACAGCGATCATGTGTTGCCAAAGCTGTCTATTGCATATGTCAAAATCAGCTTTTGCCAACTATAGAACTTCAAAGCCAAAAGTTTCGTTGCAGATATGTGGCTCCGGAGTATGCATCAAGTGGTAAATTGACAGATAAATCAGATGTATATTCCTACGGAGTCATGCTTTTGGAACTTATAACCGGACGTCCACCAATCACTGCAGCAGGATCTAGGAATGAGTGCTTGGTTGACTGGGTGAGTTGACTGAGTTCTTTCCAATAATATGTCTAGCGATAGTAGATGTTTTGCCAACTCAAAGTAATAGTAAATTTGAGGGACGATTTTCTTTTGATCCTGATCCTCCGTATTAAAATAACCTATGTGTGTGTGTTGGACTGCAGGCTAGGCCATTGCTTGCTCGAGCACTACAAGAAGAGAATTTCGACAACCTTGTTGATCCAAGGTTGCAGAAAAACTGCGATGCTGATGAGATGGTTAGAATGGTTACATGTGCAGCTGCTTGTGTGCGCCATTCATCCAAACTTCGACCTCGTATGAGCCAAGTAATCATCTGTTTATCATTTTCATCAGCATCACATAAGGACAGAAAGATGGAAGAACTAAGCTAATTATAACTTTTTCAGTAAATCCGTGACTAGACCAGGACAGTAATTTGAAAGAATGATGATTATAGACAGATATGCAAAAACTTAAAAGAAAATTTCTTATTAGAAAAAATCTTAGGACAATACGTACGTAGGTGAAGATTTTCGGTGAATTTAAAGGTTTACCTTAGTAATGACTAATAAAAGTTTGTATAATTGGTTAACATAGAATGTCAAAATAAAACTAATTATGATAGAAAACAACACTGAAAAACACTTAACTGTACTTAAGTTTTGTCAATACATTAAAATCTTGGTCAATCCTTTGGATTGCTTCAACCTTCCTCAATAGATACTCTCAGTTACATAATTAAATCAGTATTGATATTTCAACTTTCAATTAGGACATACAACTAGACAATTAATTCTTAATATCTAGATTTCCTTTGTTAAAATTCTCTCTAGCTCTGATAAACATGGTCTGTTTTTGTTGTGTAAGTACATATGAGACTCTGACCACTAAGTTCACAATTTGTAACAGATAGTTGGAGCCTTAGAAGGAGTGGTTTCTCTTACTGATCTTGTTGGAGATGTTACACCGGAGAATACCCCAGAACACAATTGGTCAAAGTATTTAGATTATGGCGACAACCAATAGCAGTATGGCTTGAGAAGTTTTAATTTGACATTATCAGCTCAGAAATACAACTCCAGTGGGTACACTGAAACCACTAGTGCTTGTGGCCTTTACTCATCAGGCTCAAGTAGTGAGGCTCACCAATCATTCCGAGAGATATTGTAAAATAGGTTAAACATGGAGAATTGTACTGTGAACTTAAAATTCAGAACTATGGTAATTATGTTCTACTCAAGATGTAAAGCTCTTACACAAGTCCAGACTAGAGTAAGACGTTCAAATTCTTCATAGGTTTTCAACAAGGAAAATATTTTTTTAACAACTTTTTTTAACTAACTTTTTTCCAACCATCTATGTAATAGCTTGTGATTAGTCTGTTTCAAATATACAGATCAATAAAACAGTGACACATAGTTATCAAAAAATTGTTAAAAGAATTTGTTAACATGTAATAGTCCTTTCAAAAATTTGAACAACTTTTTATTCGAAAGCTTACTCAACTTACTTGGTTAGAGATTTCAAAACGTAATTAGAGATAATCTACGTCGAATGTTGCGGATTGGCACTTCTAAGGGTGGTCCATAAACACACTGGCACACAAAAGCACTTAACGAGAAATTTAAGTTCTTTTTTTCTTACTAATTTAAAGCATTAGGTATTTAATAAAAATATAAATCAACATATGAGTATATAAAATATATTTACAAATTCTCTATATAAAAAATAAAAACTTAAACTTTTGAAAAATAAACAAAATATTTACACAATGCAAAATTATATCATAAGTGACCACTGTTTTTGTTATAGAATATGAAATAGAGTTCAAATCTAACTCGTTCTCATATAACCAATTTTCAAAATAAGAATTGTTCTGACTTATATAATACTTATATAATGCAACATCTCAGTAAATCATATCACATATAGAACTTTTATATTTTATTACCTTGTTTTTATTTAATTTTCTTAGACTTAATATCTCTTTTAGCTGTAATAATTGTTAAATATGTTTTTTAATTTTTAACTCAAAGTGGTTTCAATAGAATTCTATATAATTATTTTTGTTAAATTAATATTAAGTCATCTGATTATGAAGATGACCTGACAGAATGATATTGACATTTTTCTTCTTGAAGATTATGTTGACTTCTTATATTAAATATTAGGATTACAATAGATAGAAAAATATTAAATAATTATTGAACCAGAAGAAATATTAAATTTTTTGTTTATCCTAAGGCATTTCAAATTTTATTTTCAATTTATTAAATATTATGTTAAAGCTTCATTCTTAATTTTTCATTTGATGAAGAGGAAGAATAACAAAAGAAAGATATAAAATAAAAAATTTTAAAAAAATGTGTAGCTAGATAAGAAAATAGTAGAGAGTAAAATGATTTTATTTATTATTAAAAAATACACAATCATAATAAATTATATCATATAGATATGTTAGGAAATTCTTTCCTTTTTTTTTTCTCTCGATATCATAAGTCAATGTAGTTTTCCAGTTTCTAACCAACTTGACCCAAAAATAATCAATTATAATTCTATTGAAATTATCCTAAATCACTTCAAGAAAATTCCCAACTCCGTTGCTAATCCACCCTCCTACATGTCAATCAACTAAGTTAAAAACATAGTATAAATTTAAATTTCAATTTGTTACAAATTTAAGCTCAACACTCTACTAAGCATTTATTACAAATATTTTTTTTTTCACAAATACTACGATTTTTAGAAACACGAAAATTAAAATTTTTAGAAATAACTACAATAAGTTACTAGTAAAAATTATTCTTGGAGACCTTCATGCAAGTTTTGTGATTATTGAATAAAAACGCGTTGCTTTTATTAAAAACTTATTTATTTTTGTTACTAAATTCAATAATTTAATATTTTCAAATATCAATGTGAAATTTTGATGTTGAAATAAAATCACAATAATAAATGNAAATCAATTTCTCTCTCTATCTCTCTTCGATCTGCTTTGCTGTTGGGGCCAACCGCTCCTGCAATTCCCGTTTGCGATTGGAGGTTGCCCTCTTTCCTTTCTTTTTTTAAGATTGATCTACGATTTTGTTTTTTGTTTTTCAATTTTTGTGATTTGTGCTGTTTTTTAATCGCAGTGGAGGCCATTCTTGCAACGTGAGTTCATTAGATCCAAAATTGTTCAGAAAAGAGGTTAAGGAGGATGAAGAAAACCGAACGAATTGCGAATTTGGCTTTGACAGGTTTGTTTCTCCTGTTTCATGCTTCAGTTGATACTCTTATTGAGCAACCTTCGAGTTGCTGTGTGATTCATGACGAGCTTTTTTGGCATTCTGGCATAATGTAGTTGCTGTACGATTCATTCTCAAATGAATTGAATTGAATTTTGATTCTGTATTCTAAAATTTTAGGGTATCGAATTTTGGCAGCTGGGCTTTGTTTGGTTTAATAATACTTGTTTGTTTATTAATAATCTTAATAATGTCAATGCGTGAGTGATAGAAGGAGAGTGAGTCTCTTTTTGTTCCTCAATTTCTCAATATTATTGCCATTTTATTTGTAATCACAGGTTTATCCTTAGCACCGCTTGTTGTGAAAGTAGATCCGAATTTAAATGTTATTTTGACTGCTTGTCTCACCGTGTTCGTGGGATGTTACCGCTCTGTCAAACCAACACCACCAACTGTGAGTAGTTAATCTGCTTATTCCCTTCTTTATATTGTGTTCTTTGGTGGTTAATCTGATTTCTGTTGCAAATAATTTTACAGGAGACAATGTCGAATGAACATGCCATGCGTTTCCCCTTTGTTGGGAGTGCGATGTTATTGTCACTGTTCTTACTCTTCAAGTTTCTATCAAAGGACCTTGTGAACACTGTATTGACAGGCTACTTCTTTGTACTTGGGATTGTTGCGCTTTCGTAAGTTCTTTTCCTCACGTTGGATGTCCTTGTCATAGTATCGATAAAATCTTATTGTTATAATTTTTTGTATTTTATTAAACACTTTGTTTTCCACTGTCTACAGGGCAACATTATTACCGTTTATTAAACGTTTTCTGCCAAAGCATTGGAATGAGGACGTCATAGTCTGGCGATTTCCATATTTCCGATGTATGTGACTCCCTGGCTACTGTATTTTTCTTATTGTTGGTGATAGTATGTTTTTCTCTGAACTGCGGTGCATCTAGTTCCAAATTCCAATTAATGCGGCCTCTGGGCACTTGTACTCGTTGTGATGTGCCCAATGAAATATGAAAAATGCTCGAGGCCTTTATTTATTGACAATTCATTTATTTTTTCTTTTTAAATAAATTTAGTTTTAACATGATTTTGAACTATTTTCTAGAGAAGGCATTATAAATTCAACCCTTTAGACAAAATAAAGGTAAATGCATGCATACCCCATGGACCCATATGGCTTGTCACAATTATCAAAAGGGGAGTCATTTTCGGGTTATTGTGAACTGTTGACTTAATTTTTAAGTTCTGTTGATCAACTATAATCACCAATGTCTTTGGCTATTTATTATGCTTTACTATCTATGTTGTTGGCTTTTTAGTTCTTTATTTATTATCATTAGACGATTATCCTCATGATTTGCATTGTATGTGTTGTTAGTTATAGTTACTTGATCAAGTTGAGATTAATCCTCCTCTATCACGCATAATATATATTTTTCTGCTTACATTTTTCTTATTCAGCTGTGGAGATTGAGTTTACAAGGTCACAGGTCGTTGCTGGCATCCCTGGGACATTCTTTTGTGCTTGGTATGCTTTGCGGAAGCATTGGCTGGCAAATAATATATTGGGTCTTGCTTTCTGTATTCAGGTCTGTCAATTTTCTATATATAAATTGTCCTATCAACTATTTTTTATGATAAAGTTTCATCATCAATTTATTATATATTTATATAAAATTTGTGGTACCCACTTTTTGTGGTTTGAACTAATAATTTTTGTGAATTTTGATAAATAAATTAAATCATTCTATCATTTATGCTATCAATGTGTAGAATTATGAATCAGTTTTTTATTACTAGAATTTACACCAATGTACATTTTATCACTTGCAGGGAATTGAAATGCTTTCTCTTGGGTCTTTCAAGACTGGTGCTATTCTCTTGGTAGGTGTTTTCTTTCTTTTGTAATTAATGGTGCTCAAAGCGTTTATCTAAGAAGACATGTATACCAACAATAATTTTTCTGTGGATAAACCAGATCATATGTCTGTGTCGTTCAAACATTTACTCTTTTTTATTGTAATAAAATACAATTAAAAGGCCTGTGGATTTTGACTTACTCTATCATCTGATTCATTCAGATTCTTTTTTACCCTTTTAATCGAATACAAGCTCATAAAATGCATGAGAAAATTATATTTATTCCCTACAGATATGATAATTTAGTCTTATTTTCCAAAAGATAGAAGANGGTAATCTAAGACCTATCTTTCTCAATTACTCTAGAAACATATTTATGCTGAGCTTCTGTTTGTATTAGGTTTCTGACTTTGGCCTGGCAAAAGTCTTACCAAATGATAGCCATATTAGTCACCTCACCACCCGAGTGATGGGAACCTTTGGGTAAGGACTCTTTCCATCTTACTTCACGTATCATAGTGCATTACTTAACATTAACCTCATCGTTTACTTGAAACAGAAAGTGCTGTGAATTCCTTAAAATACTTAAGTAAACATTGAATTTTTTTCTCTACTATTAAGTCAGCATCACAAAGTGAACATTGGTCATTTTAGCTCTTCAGTAAATAAGCAGCGCCCTCCTTACAAGTAACAGAAAAAAACGGTTGAAAAAAAAAAGTTTCTATACAGCGATCATGTGTTGCCAAAGCTTTCTATTGCATATGTCAAAATCAGCTTTTGCCAACTATAGAACTTCAAAGCCAAAAGTTTCGTTGCAGATATGTGGCTCCGGAGTATGCATCAAGTGGTAAATTGACAGATAAATCAGATGTATATTCCTACGGAGTCATGCTTTTGGAACTTATAACCGGACGTCCACCAATCACTGCAGCAGGATCTAGGAATGAGTGCTTGGTTGACTGGGTGAGTTGACTGAGTTCTTTCCAATAATATGTCTAGCGATAGTAGATGTTTTGCCAACTCAAAGTAATAGTAAATTTGAGGGACGATTTTCTTTTGATCCTGATCCTCCTTATTAAAATAACCTATGTGTGTGTGTTGGACTGCAGGCTAGGCCATTGCTTGCTCGAGCACTACAAGAAGAGAATTTCGACAACCTTGTTGATCCAAGGTTGCAGAAAAACTGCGATGCTGATGAGATGGTTAGAATGGTTACATGTGCAGCTGCTTGTGTGCGCCATTCATCCAAACTTCGACCTCGTATGAGCCAAGTAATCATCTGTTTATCATTTTCATCAGCATCACATAAGGACAGAAAGATGGAAGAACTAAGCTAATTATAACTTTTTCAGTAAATCCGTGACTAGACCAGGACAGTAATTTGAAAGAATGATGATTATAGACATATGCAAAAACTTAAAAGAAAATTTCTTATTAGAAAAAATCTTAGGACAATACGTACGTAGGTGAAGATTTTCGGTGAACTTAAAGGTTTACCTTAGTGATGACTAATAAAAGTTTGTATAATTGGTTAACATAGAATGTCAAAATAAAACTAATTATGATGGAAAACAACACTGAAAAACACTTAACTGTACTTAAGTTTTGTCAATACATTAAAATCTTGGTCAATCCTTTGGATTGCTTCAACCTTCCTCAATAGATACTCTCAGTTACATAATTAAATCAGTATTGATATTTCAACTTTCAATTAGGACATACAACTAGACAATTAATTCTTAATATCTAGATTTCCTTTGTTAAAATTCTCTCTAGCTCTGATAAACATGGTCTGTTTTTGTTGTGTAAGTACATATGAGACTCTGACCACTAAGTTCACAATTTGTAACAGATAGTTGGAGCCTTAG